TAGTTAGTTAGTTAGTTAGTTAGTTAGTTAGTTAGTTAGTTAGTAGTTAGTTAGTTAGTTAGTTAGTTAGTTAGTTAGTTAGTTAGTTAGTTAGTTAGTTAGTTAGGTAGTAGTTAGTTAGTTAGTTAGTAGTTAGTTAGTTAGTTAGTTAGTTAGTTAGTTAGTTAGTAGTAGTTAGTAGTTAGTTAGTTAGTTAGTTAGTTAGTAGTTAGTTAGTTAGAGTTAGTTAGTAGTAGTTAGTAGTTAGTTAGTTAGTAGTAGTTAGTTAGTTAGTTAGTTAGTTAGTTAGTTAGTTAGTTAGGTAGTTAGTTAGTTAGTTAGTTAGTTAGTAGTAGTTAGTTAGTTAGTTAGTAGTTAGTTAGTTAGTAGTTAGTAGTTAGTAGTTAGTTAGTTAGTAGTTAGTTAGTTAGTTAGTTAGTTAGTTAGTTAGTTAGTTAGTTAGTTAGTTAGTTAGTTAGTTAGTTAGTAGTTAGTTAGTTAGTAGTAGTTAGTTAGTTAGTTAGTTAGTTAGTTAGTTAGTTAGTAGTTAGTTAGTTAGTAGTTAGTAGTTAGTTAGTAGTTAGTTAGTTAGTTAGTTAGTGTTAGTTAGTTAGTTAGTTAGTTAGTTAGTTAGTTAGTTAGTTAGTTAGTTAGTTAGTTAGTTAGTTAGTTAGTTAGTTAGTTAGTTAGTTAGTTTGTTTGTTTGTTGGTTGGTTGGAGAGAGAGATTACATCCATCGATTTTTAAAAAGTGAGACTACAGAAAATGGCGGTATGTATGTAACTTAAGTTTCGCATTCCTCAATCCTCTACGCATCGGTGTAACACAACCAACACACTCCAAATTCAATTCTTTTTTTATTGCACTACCGCTACAAAAAGGGAACTAAAGGAAAAAAATAAATTTGAATTTAAAACCGGGAAATATACACTTTGTATACGCTTAGAAAACTATGGCAATTTTATTATAAAAACAAATGTATTTATTTTGAAAGACCACTCACACAACACTTAACATTGCATATTGTCCAGGTTTTTCCACGTACCTATCTTCTTCTGTTGGCTACGTGCTTTCGCAGTTTACGTATCGCAGTGGTAAAAACTGCTATAGCAGTAGTCTGTGGCATTGTCGTCATTGTTGTCGTTCAAGTTGTATCTCTATTGTAGTGAGAGCTCATAAGTAAATGTAGAATAAATAAATTATTTTATGTCGCTTTCAGCACACAACTCAACAACAATTCTATTGCTGTTTTGTTTATTTGTTTGCTGCTCTAGTTCTTGGCCCAGCAATAATACAAATAAAATCCACCTTTTTCTTTGTATGATGTCAGTTATTCTTTGCCACAAAAAGCAAACAAATCCAACTAAAACCCAATCCAATTGAAATCAACCAACAAAATGAAACGCTTTGCTGTACTGAAGTATAAATAAACCGAACCTGAGGACTTGTCGCGTAGAAGAAGAAATAAAAAAATAACATTTGGAAATGTTCGTATCAGTATTTGTTTATGGTCAATAGGAATGAGTTTTATTTCTTTTTGTTCAATTGCCATAAGCTGTCATTATGGTTTTGAGGAGCGCATTTATGGTTTAGCATTGGGTTGGGATTTATTTAAAGGAATTATACTATAGGATTCTCAAAACTTTATAGAGCAAATATTGAGAAGGTAAATTGAAGTAAATTGAGGGAGAAGTGTAAATTATGGTTATAACTGAATCAGTGCTTTACTTGGTTTCTAGCTTTTATTAATTATTCTGTTGTATAGCGTTACCATCGTTGGCCTCTGCCGATCAAACCGCTCTATTTGTTTTACCTGATTCCACTTATTTTTGTTTATTTCATTTTTGTCATCGTTAAGTATCATTTTGCATATCATGTCTTTACTGCCGTTGCTTCTGCTACCAACTACTGCCACGTTACGAAAATGCCTGCGGAATGAATGTTACACATTTCACAGTATCGCAAGGCAAGCATGGTCGGTTTGAAATGCACAACAAAAAAGTAACAAGAAATACCGACATTTTCGGTTTTTGTATATGTTTAGTTCTTATTGCGTTGTTTGTCCACTACCTCTGTCACATTTCTTCGTTTGTTCAAATTTCTTTACTTTAACTTTGTCCGTCTTGCTGTTCATCTGTCCGTTCCTACGTTTGTCCGTCTGTCCACGTAAATACAGTAAACCCTGGTTAATTACTTCACTGAAACATTTAATATGTCCCAATTTAACTACCGGAATATGAAATCCAGGGCGATAAGTGATTTGGTGTTGTTAAGTAGGTTTGACTGTATATCATTTTTGTTTCGGTGTAACTTTACGTATTTTATGCGGTTTGTTACCGAATGTCACTTAGAGTCCACATACTTTTTCTTCATTTTAACCATTGTGTATGAGCGAGCATTGATACAGACTTTTGTTTGATTTTTCCTCTTCAGCATATTTTCTTGTTTTTTTTTTTTTTTTTTGTTTTGCTCTTGTATTCACACATTTTACTTTTATGTGAATTAAAAAGCCTTTGGCTACCTTTATTGAGCGGCATGTATCACATTTGCATTCTTCAATTGCACCCAAATCACAAAAAGAATGAACAAGGGCAACAACAACAGCAACAACAATAACATGAACTGAAATGAAATGTATGTTGTCATCACTACAATTCACACTTTAATGTCTTTTTGTTTTATCCATCCATATCCATATACAAATGTATATAGTATCTATACGATATTTACCTTTTAGTTGGGCGACAGGGACATTTGGATGGAAGGACAGAAGAAGACACCCATACATACATTACGCTATACATTTTCATACCATTTATACAATGTATATTTTATTTATGATCATCACTCCTTTCATTAGAATGTCCTGAACAAAAGACGACATTGTTGAAATGCTTTTACAGGTTAAATACTTTGATTATAAAATACACACCATACCGACGATGAGTGGAGACATTTAGACAGTTTTAGATATCCATGCACAAAAATATCTTTTTAAATGAGGAAATAATGGCTATTATTTAAATTTTGTAGAATTTGAAAATGTTTTTAAATTAAAAATTTAAATGGGATTGGTTTCAGATAAGTTTAGGTTTCAATTGGGTGCTTTTCTCTTAAAGATCCACCAATTTACGAAAAATGTTCTACCAATGGAAAATGTTCGACAAACTTTCCTTTTTTTTTTTAATTTTTTCTTAAAACGTTTTGACAAATTTTCTACTTTTCTTTTGGAAGAATTTCGATAAATTTTCATTTTCGATAAATTTTTATAAAAACTCTCGATAAGTTTTGTTTTAAGGGAAAACATTGAAACATGTTTTTATAGAAAATTTTTGATAAATTTTCTATTTATAGAAAATTCTCCATAAATTTTCTTTTTAAAATTTTTTTAAGAAATTTTAATTAAAACTAAATTTTCGATGAACTTTGATTAATTTTTTCGATAAACTTTGATTCAATGGACAGGACATTTCAATAAATGTTGTTTTTGAAAATTCTTCTATAAATTTTATTCTAGAAAATTTTCCGCAAAAATTTTCTTTTTATAAAAAAATTTCTGAAAAATTTTCTTTTTTATAGAAAATATTCAGATAAATTTTCTTTTTATAAAAAATGTTCGGAAAAATTTGTTTTTTTAGAAATTTTTCTGAAAAATTTTCTTTTTTATAGAAAATTTTCGTATAAATTTTAATTCTATAGAAAATTTTCAAATAAATTTTCTTTATATAGAAAATTTTCTTTTTATAGAAAATTTTCGGATAAATTGTCATTTTATAGAAAATTTTCGGATAAAATTTATTTTTTAAGGAAAATTTCGGATACATTTTCATTTTTATGGAAAATTTTCGGATAAATTTTCTTTTTTTTTAAATTTCGGATAATTTTTTTTAATTTTCTTTTTATAGAAAATTTTTGGACAAATTTTCTTTTTATAGAAAATTTTTGGACAAATTTTCTTTTTATAGAAAATTTTAGGATACAATTTCTTTTTATAGAAAATTTTAGAATAATTTTTTTTTATAGAAAATTTTCGGACAAAATTTTTTTTTTCATAGAAAATTTTCGGACAAATTTTTTTTTTCATAGAAAATTTTCGGATAAATTTTCTTTTTGTAAAAAATTTTCGGTAAATTTTCTTTTTATAGAAAATTTTAGGATAAATTTTCTTTTTATAGAAAATTTTAGGATAAATTTTCTTTTTATAGAAAATTTTAGGATAACTTTCTTTTTATAAATTTTTTTATAGAAAATTTTCGAATAAATTTTTTTATAGAAAATTTTCGAATAAATTTTTTTATAGAAAATTTTCGAATAAATTTTCTTTTTATAGAAAATTTTAGGATAAATTTTCTTTTTATGGAAAATTTTCTGATAAATTTTTTTATAGAAAATTTTCGTTTTATGGAAAATTTTCAGATAAATATTCTTTTTGTAAAAAATTTTCGGTTAAATTTTCTTTTTATAGAAAGTTTTCAAATAAATTTTCTTTTTATAGAAAATTTTCGGATAAATTTTGTTTTTATAGAAAATTTTTGGATAAGTTATGTTTTTATAGAAAATTTTCTGATAAACTTTCTATTTATAGAAAATTTTCAGTTAAATTTTCTTTTTGTAAAAAATTTTCGGTTAAATTTTCTTTTTGTAAAAAATTTTCGGTTAAATTTTCTTTTTGTAAAAAATTTTCGGTTAACTTTTCTTTTATAGAAAGTTCTCAAATAAATGTTCTTTTTATAAAATTTTTTCGTATATTTTATTTAAAGGATGTTTTCATTTTAAAGAAAATTTTCGAATAAATTTTCTTTTTGTTAAATTTCCTATTTATAGAAAATTTTTCTTTTTATAAAAAATATATGTTACATTTTTGTTGAAAATTTTTGTTAAATTCTGTTTTTGTAGATTTTTTTACTTTTTTGTATACAATTTTAGATAAATTTTATTTAATAGAAAAATTTCAATAAACATTCAATAAGCTCTATTTTTATAAAAAATTTTCGATAAATTTTCATTTTATTTTTATAAATTTGCTACTCAGTACAATAAAATCATTACATTTATTTCCATAGTTATTTCTCTGACATTCAATGTTCCTAAATTTCTTTGTATCCCATACAATATACATTAATACCCATTGTGACAATAATTTATAACTTTGCATCTAAAATATGAATTTGGAAAAAAAAAATAAAGTTTCTATACAATTCAAATAATACTTACTCCTATGCTGGAGTTTCTTCTTCCACTGGTCAATGCTTAGATTTCAAGTTGTTAAATTGTCATTGTGGTATTTTAATGGACTCAAACATTTTAAAGGTTGCAAATGAGGTGACTACTAAATATACCAGATACATTCATTGTTAAGATACATTCATGCATATATACAACATTATGGACACACATCCCATAAAATAAACCTTTTTTTGGAACATTGTGTTGTCAACTCACCGGAGAGTTTGTCGGCAACAAAATACTACATGCAATGAAGACAACCTGAAAAAAAGAAGGAATAAAAGCATTTCATAGGAATTATTAAAGTACTTGTACAATGTGTTAGTGTTTTTGTTGCTGTTGCACTTGCAGCCAACTAACAAAGTAAGTGAATCCGTTAGTAAGTAAATGAGTGAGTGTGAAAGGATTTAGAATAGACATTTCAACGAAATATTTTACCATATTAATACTATAAAATATGGCCTGAAATTTAGAAAATTTTCAAAACTTTCGTCTTAGCTATGTGGGTATGAGACGATAAGCTCTAGTTTGGAACAAGCAACACCTTGTGCATAGAAAGAAGATTTAAAAGTTGAACAACCCCCATATAGCACACAACAACAACAAATGTATATACCTCATACATACGCATATTTATGCCAGAGGACTTGAAATACTTTTAACCGTTACTTGCCTAACACCAATGCTAGACAGGACGAAGGATATCAATAATAAAGTAGAATTGTTTAGAAATGTAAGTTTGGGGGGTTTGTTGTTAATGCAGATTGCTAGAATATTTTAGAGAGAAGTCTGGTGCAGTAATTTTTTATGTGTTTTAAAGTTGCACTTAGAGAAAAGTTAAATGTTTTTAGGTTCTAGTTCAGTTCTAGTTCAGTTCTAGTTCAGTTCTAGTTCTAGTGCAGGTTCTAGTTCATTAGTTTCTATTCAGTTCTAGTTCAGTTCTAGTTCAGTTCTAGTTCAGTTCTAGTTCATTTATAAGTTCAAGTTCTAGTTCAGTTCTAGTTCAGTTCTAGTTCAGTTCTAGTTCAGTTCTAGTTCAGTTCTAGTTCAGTTCTAGTTCAGTTCTAGTTCAGTTCTAGTTCAGTTCTAGTTCAGTTCTAGTTCAGTTCTAGTTCAGTTCTAGTTCAGTTCTAGTTCAGTTCTAGTTCAGTTCTAGTTCAGTTCTAGTTCAGTTCTAGTTCAGTTCTAGTTCAGTTCTAGTTCAGTTCTAGTTCAGTTCTAGTTCAGTTCTAGTTCAGTTCTAGTTCAGTTCTAGTTCAGTTCTAGTTCAGTTCTAGTTCAGTTCTAGTTCAGTTTCTAGTAGTTCTAGTTAGTTCTAGTTCAGTTCTAGTTCAGTTTGTTCTAGTTCTTAGTTCAGTTCTAGTTCAGTTCTAGTTCAGTTCTAGTTCAGTTCTAGTTCAGTTCTAGTTCAGTTCTAGTTCAGTTCTAGTTCAGTTCTAGTTCAGTTCTAGTTCAGTTCTAGTTCAGTTCTAGTTCAGTTCTAGTTCAGTTCTAGTTCAGTTCTAGTTCAGTTCTAGTTCAGTTCTAGTTCAGTTCTAGTTCAGTTCTAGTTCAGTTCTAGTTCAGTTCTAGTTCAGTTCTAGTTCAGTTCTAGTTCAGTTTTAGTTCAGTTCTAGTTCAGTTTCTAGTTCAGTTTTAGTTCAGTTTAGTTCAGTTTCTAGTTCAGTTTTAGTTCAGTTCTAGTTCAGTTCTAGTTCAGTTCTAGTTCAGTTCTAGTTCAGTTCTAGTTCAGTTCTAGTTCAGTTCTAGTTCAGTTCCAGTTCAGTTCTAGTTCAGTTCTAGTTCAGTTCTAGTTCAGTTCTAGTTCAGTTCCAGTTCAGTTCTACTTCAGTTCTAGTTCAGTTCTAGTTCAGTTCTAGTTCAGTTCTAGTTCAGTTCTAGTTCAGTTCTAGTTCAGTTCTAGTTTGTTCTAGTTCAGTTCTAGTTCAGTTCTAGTTCAGTTCTAGTTCAGTTCTAGTTCAGTTCTAGTTCAGTTCTAGTTCAGTTCTAGTTCAGTTCAGTTCTAGTTCAGTTCTAGTTCAGTTCTAGTTCAGTTCTAGTTCAGTTCTAGTTCAGTTCTAGTTCAGTTCTAGTTCAGTTCTAGTTCAGTTCTAGTCAGTTCTAGTTCAGTTCTAGTTCAGTTCTAGTTCAGGTTCTAGTTCAGTTCTAGTTCAGTTCTAGTTCAGTTCTAGTTCAGTTCTAGTTCAGTTCTAGTTCAGTTCTAGTTCAGTTCTAGTTCAGTTCTAGTTCAGTTCTAGTTCAGTTCTGTTCTAGTTCTGGTCTATTTCTAATAATAAAATTATAAAATATTTTATTCTTTTCTCACTGTGTATTTCATAAGTATGACTTTTAAAGGCCAGACAATTAGGTAATAATAACTTTCTAAATCTCTGCGCTTCATCGGTATTTTCAGGCCATTACATTTTAAACAACAACAGTAGCAAAATTTTTATCATTGTTGTTGTATTTGTTGTCGTCTATGAAAAATGCGAACGTATATGTACTTAGAAATAAACCTGCAGTAGTAATGTTTCTCTGTCAGTTTGTAATTTTTTTCATTAGTTATAAATTGTTGTTTTTGTTGTTGTTGCGTTGAAAATCCCTAGAGCCAGGACATAAAATCAACCTGGCACAATAAAGTGTAATAAAATGCGATTTGTATGGATGTATAAAAAAAGTATGAATGTGTATTTGTAGCCTTAAAACAAAATAAGTTTCAAATTCTCAAATTATTTTTGGCCTGTGTGTATTTTTCATTGCTATTGTATTTTTAATCTAGATAAACTTCAAATAATAAACGCTCAAATAGATATACATAGATACAGTTCATATTGTCGCCATTCGAAAGTGGGGTGTCATCTATTATGCCGTTTGTATTAGTCTGTCCAACAACCCCCCGGTTTGCAGAAGAGTGCAAGTGTAATTGTACTAGAAGTGTAAGCAATAATAAGAAAGGCTACCAGGGATAAAAGAGGGAAAAGAAGGTTGTACTTTCTTGCTTCATTCATTCATTTATTCAGTTCATTTTTATGTAGAGTGTGATTCTTTTAAATTAGTTTCATTATCATTAGAAATGCTAAGAAAAACGAGTTGAAGTTTAAGAAAATGACTATAACATACCTTATCACACTTTAAACAATTGCTGGCATTTTTCATTTTCACTATACTATATACCACCACCACATCTTTAATTTCACGGTATAATTTGTATGTCCTTTCCCCCGCATCTATGCCGAAACACCCTTTCTTGTATTTTATTATGTTCCACAGCCACTCTTCTACTATATATGTATGTATGTATGTATTTTATGTTTATGTGTATCTGCAAGTAGCTTTTAGAATCCGGACATTGTTGTGTTGCATGCTGCTGTCTTGTGCTATTTGATAAATTTTAATTTCTGTAGTTATTTTGTCTTTAATTTAAGGAATGCATCACAAATGGCGTTTTTAAGCACACTACAGTCTGTGTGCATTTGTTGGTTGGTGATTATGAAAATATCTTTCTGTTTGTAACAAATGTAAAAAAGTTATGCTTTTGGGGTAAAAAAGATACAAACTAAACATTTTCTAAACGATATACTTTGTTCGCTATTTAAACATTTCCCTTCTTTCAATCCCTCGATGGAAGACCATTTTCTTGTAATTGTAGTAATAGTTCAGATTTTTATTTCACATACCATATACACAAGTCAAAATTTTAGAATTAGAGAACAACATTGTTCTTCATTCAAATCTATCACATGTCCTTTCCAATTATACCGACTATAGACAAGACCATTACATTTACAATATTCTCTCAATTTCAGAATTATGCATGTTTGTAAAGTCAATGTCTGTATAGATGAAAAGTCCTTTTCTCCTTTTCGTTATATGTTTGCGATATATAAAAAACCTGAAATCCGGCTCTTGAATATCTGCATCTCTAGCAGACTGAATTCTCAAATGTCTTTTAGAGGACTTCCTTATATACCTACCGTATACAAAGATCCTCCTTATTATTCTAAAGGATGTATAAATTGCAAAAAAAAAAAAACATTTAATTTTATTTTCATGTTTAAATGAGGCAACTGATGCAGAAGAACTCATTAAAATTTTAAACGTTATTAGTACGTACTACTACTCCTTCTACTATTACTTACTAAGTATTACTACTGAAATTTTATTTAATTTTTTTTTGGAATTTTAGAAATTTATTTCCTTCTATATTTCAGTTAAAATAAACAATAGTGTAGATAGTAATAGATATAATGAAGGGAAGGCGGTGGACTTCTTTATAAGAGCTCAAACATTTGTAGAGAACAAAGAAAACAATTTAGAATATTTAAGAAGGAAATTAAATACTTTCACAGGAAGAAGCGTTAACTTAATGTAATAAATATTCAAATACATATATACTTTTATTTGAAAACGTCTCCGTTAATTATTTTGTATTTTTGTCGGGTTTAATGTGAATGCCTTTAGAATAGCGGAATTTAGGTGGATACATTTTTTCAATTAAAATTTTTATAGATTGTAATCATCTGCTTATTGAGGTGAAATAGCTGGCTGTAATATTAAATTTTTTTAAAATGTGCTAATCTCATTTAGTTTTTATTTATTTCAGTTATAGTTTAATTCTAGTTCAGTTCAGTTCGAGTTCAGTTCCAATTCAATTCCACTTCAGTTCCAGTTCAGCTCTAGTTCAGTTCTAGTTCAGAGTTCAGCTCTAGTTCAGTTCTAGCACAGTTCTAGTTCAGTTCTAGTTCAGTTCTAGTTCAGTTCTAGTTCAGTTCTAGTTCAGTTCTAGTTCAGTTCTAGTTCAGTTCTAGTTCAGTTCTAGTTCAGTTCTAGTTCAGTTCTAGTTCAGTTCTAGTTCAGTTCTAGTTCAGTTCTAGTTCAGTTCTAGTTCAGTTCTAGTTCAGTTCTAGTTCAGTTCTAGTTCAGTTCTAGTTCAGTTCTAGTTCAGTTCTAGTTCAGTTCTAGTTCAGTTCTAGTTCAGTTCTAGTTCAGTTCTAGTTCAGTTCTAGTTCAGTTCTAGTTCAGTTCTAGTTCAGTTCTAGTTCAGTTCTAGTTCAGTTCTAGTTCAGTTCTAGTTCAGTTCTAGTTCAGTTCTAGTTCAGTTCTAGTTCAGTTAGTTCAGTTCTAGTTCAGTTCTAGTTCAGTTCTAGTTCAGTTCTAGTTCAGTTCTAGTTCAGTTCTAGTTCAGTTCTAGTTCAGTTCTAGTTCAGTTCTAGTTCAGTTCTAGTTCAGTTCTAGTTCAGTTCTAGTTCAGTTCTAGTTCAGTTCTAGTTCAGTTCTAGTTCA